AAACAAGAAGCTTGAATTAATGAAGTTATTAGATCTAGTGATGATGAATTAGAGTCACAAGAGTTTCTAGCAAGTTTGCCAACACCGGAGGATGTTACCATCGATATGATGCGACAATTAGAATTGAATTTTAAAGGAAAATACAAATATTAGATTACATCCGAGAACTAATTGAAACAGAACCCTTCCTAGAAAGTGGCTGCGTAAATTAGTTACTCATCTAATAGTTGTAACAAATATTAGTTTTACATATGAGAACTTATTGAAACAGAACCCTTCCTAGAAGGTGGCTCCGTAGATTAGTTACTCCACTAATATTTGTAAATTGTAACTTCTAAGTTCTAAGTTGCAATTAGATTTTATTGAATAAATTTGAAGGCTTTATTCAAGTCTTTTTTATATAACTATTGTCTTGCATTTTAATTTTAATTTTAAAATACTTAATTTAAAAATTAAAATTTGACATTTGAAATTTCAAGTTAAATTCTTTTAAAATATTTAAAATACAAATTTGAACTTCTCAAATTTGAAATTTGAAACTTGAAACTTGAAACTTGAAACTTGAAATTTGAAATTTGAAATTTGAAAACTTAAGCATTTTTTATTAGCTAAAAATGTTATTGAAAACTAAATAAACTAAAAATGCTATTCAATAACATATAATTTCAATACAAATAAATAAACATATATAAAAAAAATAATCCCACGTCCCGTCTCATCCGGTCCCGCCAAACCCCGTCCCATCCCGTATACATAGTGGGACGGGATGGGACGATTTTTTATCCCCCCAATCCCGGTCCCCCCAAAATCCCGGCCAAGGCGTCCCCTGTCCCGTTCCGTCCCCCAGTCCCTGTCCCCGTCCCCTTGCCAGCCCTAGGCACAACCAACAATAGTTGGTTGATCCTCTATTAATTAATTGACACTTGGATAATGGGTCCACTTCTTTACCTCTTTACCATCTCTCTTACTCACCTCTCTTTTCTTTCATTTTTTTTACTCCTAATTAATATCTAATTCTTAAAACATTATTAAATAATTAATACATTTGATAAAAAAAATCGATAAATACATTTTCTGTTAAAATAACTTAAACAATTATAAAATTGTTAACATTAAAAATCAATCGGTTCCATATAATTTTAAACTAACTACTCATTATATTATTATTATTATTATTATAAGTTATCATAAAAGAAAAGAGAGGTGAGTAGGAGAGAGATAGTAAAAAGGTAAAGAAGTGGATCCATTATTCAAGTGCCAACTAATTAATGGAGGGTCACCCAACTATTGTTGGTTGTACCTCTGTAAATTTTTCATAATATAATGTCTTTACATGACCAATAATATACTCCAATCATTTTTATCTACTGTATAAAATTTGACTAATACTCTTTCTTTTCTGCAGTGTCATACACAACTTGTTTTATGTCTTCCTTTGATATTTTTTGTGCAACTATTAGTAGGTGAACAATGGTCTAGTGTGGAAAATATTTTCAGACCCCTTTATGCGCTTCACAAGCTAATATATATGTATAATTATTTTATTTTTTAATACAAATATAGAGTTTATGGAAAAATTACTGGGTTTGTCAAACCCACGGACCCTAAGTTAGCTCAGCCTCTAGGGTTGGGTTTAGTATTGTTGCGGTAAAAGATGAGTTAATATCAAAATAATTAAGCTTTGTTTTATATTAATATAAATCACCCAACTTAAGTATATCTTCAAAAATCACTCGACTATATTTATTATTAAAATAAATTTGATATAAAAAAATAAGATTTTTATCAAAGGTTAAAGAGGAAAGCTCTTTTAATAGTGACAATCTACCCATTTTCCTGCTTGCAAGTTTTTCCAGCTTCGTCTAATTAACTCCACATATGGAGACATCAACAACTAAGGGTGTGTTTGGTGTAAGACTGGGCACCGAACCGGAATGGAACCATCAGATCGGAATGAACTGGTATCGAACCGGCCATGGGATGGTTTGATCGGGTCGTTAACCGGTATCGGGATGAGCCGGACCAGAATTACCAGAATGGAGGCTCAGTTCCAACCCGTCCCACTATACACAGGGATAGAATCGGTATGAACCGGAATGGAACAGGATAAACGGGACGACACATATAGCTACTTCAAAAAATAATAAAAAAATTTTGAGTTATTTTGAATTACGAAAATATGAATGTTTTTTTTATTTTTCTAAGTTTAATAGTTTTGAAATTTATAATGTAATTTTACTTAAGTTTATTTTAAATATATTTTTTTTAATTTTTACTTATATAAGTTCGTAAGTTAAGTTTCATAAAGCTTTTTTTTAAAAAAGTTTTTCGGCTTAAGTTTTTAACATTTGAATCTTTTGAAGTTTATAAGTTATTAAGTTATATGTTATAAGTTATACTTATAACTTGTAATTTAAATAACTTGTTGCAGGGCTATTTTTAATTAATTAACAATATTTTATCAGGGCCGGACCAGATCGGATCGAAACAGAACCGGGATGAATCGGTACCGGCATACCGGTATCAAATCATGATACCGTTTCGTTTCGTTCCGAGTACCGATTCATTGTATCCCATTCCTTCCCGAATGTTGAAAAAGAAGGAAGCTGACGATTGAAACATGTCAAAGGAACAGTTCCAACGAAGCTGACTGACGAGTTTACAACACTGTTGTAGAATTAGAGTCGTACTAGGATTAGACTACTTATATTAATTAGGATTATATTACAACTAGAATTATATTATGATTAGGATTATATTACAACTAGGATTAGATTATTTATAATTGCATTATTATTATTATTATTATTATTATTATTATAGGTATTGTAGTAGGACTCTAAGTATAGTTAACTTAAGACTCTACAATTCTCCCTATATAAGGAGGTTGTAACTCAACATTATTTTCATCAATACAATCCTTGATTTCTCTAATTCTAGACGTGAGATTTCTATATGGTATCAGAGCATAAAAGCTCTTCCGCTCTCTGAGTATTGATCAAAAAAAAAAAAAACCACACGTTGCAATAGCCCCTTCTACCGAAACCATGTCAACCTCCTCACTTCACCAAATAATTACCGCTTGCTCCATTAAATCTAAGCCAACAAACTACCTCATATAGAGGACACAAATATCCCAATTGATTCAGGTGATGAAACTAACATATCTTATCTATGAACCAAGTAAAAGTAGTTATTCCACTGGACAGACTGCTGGGAAAGTTGTAAAAGTTAAGAAGGATGCAAAAGATAGTGGCACCATTGATGATTGGAAGGAGAAAGATGTGTTACTAAGGAGTTGCATCTCAAGCACCTTGACCGAAGAAAGCATGCACCTAATTGTGGGCTGCTCAACTGCCAAAGAGATGTGGGGATGCTTGGAAAAAGCTTATATTCAAGCAACAAAAACAATTAATTTTGCTAGAGGTTTAGGTCTCAAATACAAGACCTTTATCATATTAGGTAAGACACCATATTCCACTCTTAATCTATTTGTTTATACTCTCACGAGTTTTGATATAAGGGAAGATGAAGAAGAGGTGCCACAACAAAACCACAACATGGTATTATCTGCTCAAAAAGGCAGGGGAAGAGGAAACAACAATATTAACTCCAGTGAAACAGGTTTTAAGCTTGCTGGACAGGGAACAGGTTCTAAGAATAGTCAATATGGACCAGGTTCTCTGAACAATAAAAGTTCTCAAAGTGAAAATAAGGAGAGAAATAATATAGAGTCATGTCAAATCTGTGGTAGGAATAATCATACTGCTCTTAAGTGTTTTTATTGGTGGAACTACTTGTATCAATCTGCAGATGAACTATCACAAGCAACGATTAGACATCACATTCATATCGAAGCATTGACAAACCAAGTTTTTGCTGGGTATTCAAAGTTTTTTTTTCTGCGTATTCGAATCAAGCTAGGAGTAACCGGTCCTCTACTCACTAGCTTGAGGGGAAGTGTTGAAAAAGAAGGAAGCTAGCGATTGAAACATGTCAAAGGAACATGTCCAACGAAGCTGACTGACGTGTTTGTAGCAAGTGTTGATGAAGAAGGAAGCTGACGATTGGAACATGTCAAAGGAACATGTCCAACAAAACTGACTGACGAGTTTACAACACTGCTATAGAATTAGAGTCGTACTAGGATTAGACTACTTATATTAATTAGGATTATATTACGACTAGAATTATATTATGATTAGGATTATATTACGACTAGGATTAGATTATTTATAATTGCATTATTATTATTATTATAGTAGTAATAAGTATTGTAGTAGGACTCTAGGTATAGTTAACTTAGGACTCTACAATTCTCCCAATATAAGGAGGTTGTAACTCAACATTATTTTCATCAATACAATCCTTGATTTCTCTAATTCTAGACGTGGAATTTCTACACCGAATAGTATCGGAACGGACCGAAATGGTACCGGTACAACCCGGTTTGGTGCCCAGTCTTTGTTTGGCGTATAAATGATAACTTCTTAAATTTTAAATATTTTTCAATTTTAAAAAAAAAATAATTTGATGGGGTTGGCCTGGGTGGGGATTGGGGCGGAGGGGGGGTAGGGGTGGAGGTTGAAACCCTAAGAAACTTGATCCTTCCCTTTTCGAATTCGTTCAGCTTGTTCTTGGTCTACAAACAATCAATATAATACGGGAATCAATAAACAATCATTAACTACCCAGATTACTAACAATTCTATGAACCCTAGATCAAACTCATGATACCAATAATACAAATTAGGGTTGTTTCCACCATAGAATCTATAACAAAACCTTCCCTCATCAATATTCACCCATTTATTACATTCTACGGATCCAAAAATGGATTAGGGGAGTGAAAAGCCTACATTTAGCCTCAAGAATGGTATAAAATGAGTAAGGGTCGCCTGGGGGTCGTTCCTTAGCTCCAAAAGTCGAAAAGTGCCAAATAAGGTAGTCTAGGGGTTAATTTACAACTTTAAGTCGCGTCAGTCCCTCTGCAGCGGCCATCACCCTGTTGTAGCGGCCCCGCCAAAGCGACCAGAACCCCTGCCCCAGCGGCTTTCGTGTAACAGTGAGTTATTCGTCTTTCGTTTACGATTTTGAGTCTTGTCGTACCTGCCACAACGACCATCAACCCGCTGCAGCAGCCACGCTAGAGCGACAATCATCCAGCCAAAGCAGTCCAAACGGAACCAGAGAGCAAATTAAAATAATTCCAAAATCCCATTTCACAACACACCTATAATCCACGACGATCAGAAAATACCCTTTACGCTAAGATTGATTCCGGGAGTTCTACTTGGTCAAATTTAATTTCGTAAAGGCGTACGAATTTCTTAACGAGTTATCTAACCACTCATGTAATCAAAACCATAAGAGATCCACTCGATTGTTACCATATTTCTCTACACCTCAAGGACTACGATTTCTTCCAAATCTGGACAAGGTTGGAAAAATCCAAATACTATGAAAAAGTTTTTCGGCCTCAAATTTTCCCTTGCTAGCTTTTCTATAACGACGGGAATGGGTCGTTACAATAGATACCAATTTACCCATCACTCGTTCCGAGTGACAAAATTTAGGGAAAGTAGGGTAAAGAAAGAATGAAGTAGTACCTGAATCGACAAACAATTGGGGATACTTGTCTCGTATGTCTCTCTCGGTTTCCTCAACTAGACGATGCTTCTATTGAACCTTCACGGACTTAATCTCCTTGGTCCTCAACTTGCGTACATCACGATCAAGGATTGCAATCAGTTCCTCCTCATATTGGAGGTCCTTGTCTAATACAATTAAGTCCCACTTAATGATATAATAACCGTCACCATGATACCTCTTCAACATGGACACATGAAATACCGGATGAACACTTGATAAATTAAGAGGTAAAGCTAATCTATACGCTATTGGTCCCACACATTCAAGAATTTCAAATGGACCAATACATCTAGGATTTAGCTTACCCTTCTTACCAAATCTCATCCCCCCTTTCATGGGTGATACTTTAAGAAGAACATTTTCACCGGATTGAAATGGCATGTCTCTTACCTTATGATCCGCATACTTCTTCTGTCTACTCTGGGTTGCTAAAAGCTTAGCGTGAATACTCCTCACCTTATCTTAAGCATCCTTCACTAAATCAAACCCCAAAGGTTTCACATCTCCAACCTCAAACCAACCTATGGGTGATCTACATCCCCTCCCATAAAATGCCTCAAATGGTGCCATATCTATGCTGGAGTGATAACTATTATTATAGGAAAATTCACACAAAGGTAAGAACTTATCCCAATGCCCTCCGAAATCAATCACACATGCCCTCAACATGTCTTCCAATACTTGAATAGTCCTCTTCAATTGTCCATCCGTCTGTGGATGAAATGATATACTAAAGGTGAGTTGTGTACCCAATTCATCATGCAATTTCCTCCAAAACTTGGATGTGAATTAGGTACCACGATCTGAGATGATAGAAAGGGGCACCCCATGCAACCTAACTATCTCCTTCACACATACTTTAACCAATTGTTCAGCATTATAATCTATTATTACCGAAATAAAATAGGCTGACTTAGTCAATCTATCAACCACTACCCAAATAGAATCAAACTTCCCCAAAGTCTTGGGAAGACCAACCACAAAATATATGTCTATTATTTCCCACTTCCATTCTGGAATTGACATTCTCTGAATTAAACCTGCAGGCCTTTGATGTTCATACTTTACTTGTTGACAATTTTGACACTTCACCACAAACTCCGCTATGTCTTTCTTCATGCCCGGCCACCAATAAATTGCTTCAAATCTCTATACATCCTGGTCACACCCGGATGAATAGAATATCGTGAACCATGAGACTCTGCCAACAACTTTTCAATCAAGTTATCTACTCTAGGAACACATATTCTCCCTTTGAAAATGCGTACACCATCATCATCAAGAGTGGTCTCTTGTGCCTTTCCAATCACAATCTTCTTCCTAAACTTCTCCAAATTCTCATCCTCAAATTGTTTGGCCTTGATCTCTTCAATGAAAGTGGCCCTTACTTCAATACTAGCTATCACCCCACCTCTTTCTGAGATGCCCAATTGCATGAACTTAGACTCTAAAGTCTGAATTTCTTTAGCTAAATGTCGCTTGGATACACTCAAGCAAGTTAAACTACCCATACTCACCACTTTTCGATTTAAAGCGTCTGCCACCACATTAGCCTTGCCCAGATGGTACTGAATGGTCACATCATAATCTTTAAGTAACTCCATCCACCTTCACTGTCTTAAATTCAGATCTTTTTGAGTGACACATATTGCAAACTGCGATGATCAGTAAATACCTCACACTTCACACCATAGAGGTAATGCCGCCAGATCGTAAGAGCAAACACTATTACTGCCAACTCTAAATCATGGGTTAGATAATTCCTCTCATGCACCTTCAATTGACGTGAGGCATAAGATATAACATTCTTATCCTACATCAACACAGCACCCAACCCAGAATGAGAAACATCACAATAAACAATCAAGTCTTTACTTTCCACCGATAATGCTAGAATAGGCGCAGTGGTCAAGAAAGTCTTGAGCTTTTGAAAGCTCTCCTCACATTTTTCACTCCATTCAAATGGTATCTCCTTTTTGATCAAATTAGTCAAGTGAGTGGCAATAAAAGCAATTTTTTTCACAAATTGACGATAGTAGCTAGCGAGCCCCACAAAACTCCTAACTTCTGTCACAGAACTTAGTCGAACCCAATTTTTAACCACCTCAATCTTTTGAGGATCTACCATTACCCCTTCTTTTGAAACTACATGCCTAAAAAATGCAATCGATTTCAACCAAAATTCACATTTAGAAAATTTAGCATAAAACTTTTGCTTCCCAAGCACCCAAAACACTACGAAGATGGTTGACATGCTCTTCCACACTCCTCGAATATACCAAAATATCATCAATAAAGACTATAACGAACGAATCAAGAAATGGTTTGAACACCCCATTTATCAAACTCATGAAAGCTGCAGGTGCATTGGTCAACCCAAAAGACATAACCAAAAACTTATAGTGCCCATAACGAGTTCTAAACGTTGTCTTGGGCACATCCTCAAGCCTAATTTTCAATTGATGGTAACTGGATCTTAGATCAATCTTAGAGAAAACCGTTGCACCTTGCAATTGGTCAAAGAGATCATTTATTCTAGGCAAGGGGTACCTATTTCGAATAGTGACTTTATTTAATTGCCGGTAATCTATACACATTCTCATACTACCATCATTTTTCTTAACAAACAAAACTGGAGCACCCCCATGGGAAGCACTAGGATGAATAAATCCCTTATCAAGAAGCTCTTGAATTTGAGCCTTAAGCTCTCTTAATTCTGTCGGAGCAATGCAATATGGAAGGATAGAAATGGGACGCGTACCAAGCCCTAAATCAATGCAAAAATCTATATATCTATCAGGAGGCATACCAGACAAATCATTAGGAAACACTTTTATAAATTCTGACACCACAGGAATAGATCCAATGGATGGAGCTTCAATCTCAACATCCCTAATATAAGCCAAATAAGCCAAACAACCCTGCTATACCAGTTTACTAGCCCGAATGGAGGATATAATCTTAGCTTGCTTAGGCTTGTACACCCCTTCCCACTCTAATTTTTTCCTTTCCGAAATTTCTAGAGTTACAGACTTAGTATTACAATTAAGCACAACATAATAGGGGGACAGCCAAGTCATACCTAAGGTTATGTCAAAGTCAATCATATCCAAAATCACTGAATCAACCCAAGTCTGAAATCCCATAAACAAAATAGGACAAGCATGATAGACATGGGTAACTATGACTGACTCTCCAACTGGGGTAGAAAAACGAATAGGGGCATCGAAAATATCACAAATCATACCAAAATCTTAGGCAAATCTCACGGATACATATGAATAAGTAGAACCAGGATCAAACAACACATTTGCCATCAGGTCATAGATAAGAATAGTACATGTGATCGCCGCATCGGATGCCTCCACCTCATTCTTGCCCGAAAAAGCATAACACTGAGCCCTATCATCATGACGAGCCAATTCTCTGCCTGGTTGCACGTTACCCCTACCTCCGTTACCATTACCATTTCCTCTACCTACACGGCCTCGCTGATTACCTCCTCGCCTACCTTGTGGACATCCTCTCCCATTATTACCATTCCCCGCGGGTACCATTGCTCTAGACTGCTACTGCTGCGCGGAATCTGACACACGTGGGTAGGGACAATCTCTCCTCATGTGTCCCGATTCACCATAGTTGTAGCAAGTACGATCAAAAGATGGTCTGCTGCCCATCGAAGGCACGACACTCTGACTATCGTGAAAATTATGAGATGGAGTTTCCGAGTTGCTACTTGTAGAGGCGGGCATAGCAGACTGAATTAGCTTGGCTGTAAGTGTTGACCTTCCAGACCCCTTAGAGTAAGAGCCTTGAAAGTTACCCGAATTCTTTGCCCTTTTTGCCTAAGCCTTAACTTGACCGTCTCGCCTCACCCCCTCGTCTTTCTTAACATAGTCGGTCACCTCATTAACACTCCTCCCTGCAGAAGTCATATGAACAGATAACACTTGCAACTCAGAATTCAAACCTCTAATAAAAAGTTGGATCCTCTCCTCCTCAGTAGTAATCAACTGCGTAGCATATCTAGATAAAACATGGAACTTGGCCTCATAAGTAGCCACAAACATACCACCTTGCTCTAACGCCATAAACTCATCTTTCTTACGATCTCTCAAGGTTCTAAGCATATTCTTTTCTAGAAACAGAGCATGAAATTGGGTCCAAGTAAGTGGAGGTAAAGTAGAAGATTTGTACTCTATATAAGCTCTCCATCATTACTTAGCCTCCCCTTGAAGTTGGAAAGACACAAATTCAACCCCATGTTGGTGAACATTACCCAATTTATGTAAACTCTCATAACAATCTAAGATAAACTCATAAGCATCTTCAGTTTCAGAACCAAGAAATAATGGGGGCTTAAGCTTCAAGAACTTAATCAACATGTCATGCTCATTACCGGTCATAACGGAACCCAACAAAGGACGGAAGAAAGCTTCAGTACCTACATTTCCGCCCGTCTTGGGCGTAGTGCTAGCAACAGGAGGATTAGTAGGAGCTTGAGCAGATGGAAACACTCCAGGACCAGCCAACCCTTTCAAGAACGCCATAATCTGTTGAGCTAACACCAGATCGATGAGAGGAACAACCGCAGTCTCCGTGGCGCCTCTTCCTCTTGTCCATTTTCCTCAACATCTCCAACCTCAATATCCTCTTCTATCTCCTCATTATGCGCAGGAGGGTTCTCATTCATAGGAACATTATCAATCGGTACCTCATTCACAGCAGGCGCTACTCTTCAACGGTCTCTACCCCTAGCTCTTCCTCTACCTCTGCCTTGACCTCGACCTCTCACTATAGATTCCTCAGCTGGAGCATTGACAGGAGCTACAGGCCTAACACTGTTATACCTAGTATTAACAATCTCTGAACAGAAGAGTGAAGGGGGTTAAATACCAATTTGAATTGCCAGATACCAATTGGAATCAAGTCATAGCACGAAAGGAGACAAGAGAAAACAAAGAGATTTCCTAAAGTCCTATAGCCTCTTGAAGAAAATTTAAGGCATCCCCGTACCATTCCGCGAGACTCTACTAGACTCGTTTTGGTACATCGAGATCAATGAACCTAGGCTCTAATACCAACTTTGTCATGACCCAGATCGTTGTGATTGGCACCCACACTAACACTCTGGTGGGAGAACCACGGCTACAACCCAAACCAAACAAATAATCTAAAAACTAAGGCATTAAAATCAAACACTAAGGAAATAAAAGTAGAGTTCCCATAAACTCTAGCAAATGTCTAACAAAAATAACTAACAATGCGGAAGAACAACCTAGAACCTGAAAGTCAATGTACCAAAACATCTAACAATGAACCAAGTCTAAACAAGAAGGGATGCGATCCCAATCTAATGAACTAATCAACTAACTAAAACATAGTCTAAGTCCGGAAATGGTGGACACAGACGAAAGAGAATTCCATGGCAGCCCGAAAGAATTGGCTCACCCTTGAATTCGAAGCAACGATCACTGATCTTCTAAGTGAGGTCTGTCAATAGCTGCTGGAAAATGCCCTGTACTCAACAAAAATAAGAGCAAGTGCATAATTAGTACACAACCACAATGTATTGGTAGGATCACGTGGCTATCCCACTAGTGCAACATAAACAAGTCAAACAACATAATAATCACATGCATATATATAAACATATACAATATTATCAACAATTACGAACAACGATCAATTTTACATTTTATATCACATCTTTGGTACTCTCATGGAACCCAAACTCAAACAATTAGTATGCTGGAACATGGAAATCGATCCCATATTTGTGCCAAAATGTGGCAACTAATCCCATATTTATGCCGGAACATGGCAATCTGATCCAAGTTTGTTATGCCGGAACGTTGCAATCGATCCCCTTCACACACCACAATCACAATTACAATGTATATTCTCACAATCATACAACAAAAAGTGATTCATGACAATCATCTTTCATTAGCTCAGTTACAACAAGTGCGATCAACATTGCAACGTTAATATACCTACAAGTATCATAATGAAGCAAGAACAAGCATAAATCACACAATCATAGAATCACAACCATCACCTACCTCGAAACAAGCTTGAAACCCTAAGAAATTTGATCCTTCCCTTTTCGAATTCGTTCCGCTTGTTCTTGGTCTACAAACAATCAATATAATACAGGAATCAATAAAAATCATTAACTACCCGAATTACTAACAATTCTATGAACCCTAGATCAAACCCCTGATCCCAATAATCCAAATTAGGGTTGTTTCCACCATAGAATCTATAACAAAACCTCCCCCATCAATATTCCCCCATTCTATTACGTTCTATAGATTGAAAAATAGATTCGGGAAGTGAAAAGCTTACCTTTAGCATCAAAATGGTGAAAAACGAGTAAGGATCGCCTGGGGGTCGTTCCTTAGCTCTAAAAGTTGAAAAGTGCCAAATAAGGTCATTTGGGGGTTTATTTACGACTTTAAGTCACGTCAGTCCCATTGCAGTGGCCATCACCTCGCTGTAGCAGCCCCGCCAAAATGACCAGAACCCCCGCCCCAATAGCTTTCGCATAACAGTGAGCTATTCGTCTTTCGTCTACGATTTTAAGTCTCATCGTACCCGC